AACTTCTCCAAGCCTCAGATTCCTCATCTGTAAAATGGCAAAGCTAACACTATCCCTGCAGATTGCTGTAAGAATAAAGTGCCAAGCACAGTAGCAAGCAAACAGTAGGTGCTCAATAAATGTCCGTTTTCCTCCCAGCAGTCCTTTCTTTAGCTCCATGTAAAGGTGCATTCCCAGCTGAGTGACACCATTTGAAGAGTTCATTCTTAAGAAATAAAATTATCACCTTAAGAAACAAAATTCTCTATACACTAACCTTTATGCCTAAAAGGCTAACAACTCGCTATATTGTGGCAAATGCCACCAAATGGCATTAGGTTTGGGAAAAAAGAGCCTGGTATGTGCTGTGCATTTCAAAGGTTTGATCTTTACACTGATGCTGTCTTTCTCAGCACCCCAGGACAGAGTGGGCCCCTCTCAGTTATATCTCAACCTTCTATTGGTCTTATTAGGGTCATTATATAGTTATTCATGAGATGATTTATGTTTGTGCACTCCCCAAGAGCCTAGCACACTGCCTGGCACATAGAAGATGAATGAAGCAAATGTCCACTTGTCTTATCTCCTTCCAGCCATATAGCAATTCTTCGATGACCCAGGGGTATGGATTACACCTTCATTTTACAGAGGAGGAAAGCTTGCATCACTGTCAAGATCAGCCAGTGAGGAAGTGGTGGGGCAGGCACTTCAGCCAGCCCAGACTTCCTGACACCAAATCCTTGTTCATTCCTGCTCCTCTGTCCTTTGACTTACCAGCCTCGCCCTCGTGTCTATTCAGATGGTAACATCCTAGGGGGCACCATTCCCTGTCTAGGCACGTCATTTGGTGGCCAGTTGCCACATTTTGAGTGCAGAAGGTGTACTTTCTATCCCAACTCATTGAGCAATGGGTTATTTATTGGCTGACAACAGCCCCAACTGATGATGGCATGGCAAGCCCTTGCATGTTCATCTGCACAAGCCTCGGGAAGCAGGCAAAGGATTCCCAGAGTTGGGAGCTTAAGCTGGTTGGATCTGTGTTGTTTGTCTGGGGGGATCCTTAACATTCAATCTGAATACTTGTGGTCATCCCATTCATTTTCCCCCACCATGATCCAGTAATAATAATTATTATTCACTCAAAGCACTAGGGTAACTGAGTCTCAGTTTATATTCTCAATTCCCTTTTCGTTGCCATCCATTCTTCAGTAATTAACCAAGTTTCTGACACAGACATGTGGGCAACATCTCGGCCCTGTTCATTCTGTCTATGAAACTCAGTTCACAATCTAGCCTTACTGGTCTATGAAGTCTACCTGTTTCTACCTTTTTAACCTCTCCATCTCTGGAAATCTCTGGAGAACAGTTAGATGTGTGTGTTCAAGGAGAAACTGAACTTAATGTTTAGACAGACATAATGGGTGAACACCTGGAGTGGGAACACCAAAATGTGTGTACGTGGCCCAGGTGGCCCAGTTTACCTTTACCTAGTCGTGACACGTGCAACAAGTGATTTCACCTTCACAGGTGGGGTCTCTGCATCTTTGAACCTGCAGTGGTTTCTCCCCTTGCTCTGTGTTCCTCTAGTCCATTTCATCTTCTAAACAGACAGACTGCCTCGATGACAAATCAGAACAAGACAAACACTCCTACACTACTCCAGAGCTCACTCGAGGCTCTCTATCAGGCAGAAGAGATTATCCCTAAGCCTACTGTGGTCTGGAGTGGTTGTAACAAGATTGTTTTTGTAACAACTTCCTTAAGGAGACTTCTAAGCCCTTTATTAACCCACACAGTAGGTGAGCTGGTAGGGACAGAGCAGGAACACCGCTTGAAATGTGGGTGGTATCTGCTTCCCGATGGCTCTTGGAGGAAAATCTACTCCATCCCTTCAAACCCACCATGGATAAGGGGCTTCATTGGTCACTAAAGCTGGCCTGAGAGGGTGCACAGGCTGAGGGTCAGCACAAACGTGAGATCAGAGAGGGCCTGTCTGGCTGCTGTGGCCAAGAGAAGAGGGCATGATAGGCCAGGTCAAAAACCCGGGGTCCTGTACCAGGGCTGGGACGGACACCCTGCAGCAGCTCGTGTGGTCTGAGCAGTGCGCATAGGCAGCAGCAGGTAAGATCATAGAGGGGGAAGGAAACTGAGCCTGGTACCTGCAGCCATGCAGAGACACATGGAGGGCCCAGGGAAGCCAGAAGCACGAATGACTACAGTGGTGGTAACAGCAGTGGGAAGATGTAGGATGTATAAAGCGTAGCAGGTCAACAAGACCTTTGACTTAACAATTGGACATGGGTTGAATATAAAACGCATCAGAAGCACATGTATATGACCAGATGGAGCACACATTTCAAAGCATTCAGACATGTGAGAAAGTGGGCAGAGGTGAGCAACAGGTGATGATAACGTGCACTGGAAACAGAGCTTGGACACTGGTCCAGACCAAGATACACAAGGTCTAGGAGAGCCTGCAGGGCGGAAAGCTGGGATCCCTTTCCTCTCCCATCAGAAAGGTCACAGCTGACACTCAAATAACAAAAGACAGGCTAACAAGAGAAAAGCACAATGAATGTATTTATCTCAGTTTTACGTGACACAAGAGACTTCAGAAATGAAGATGCAAAGACTTGCAGAGAACTGTTTCTGCTTAGGTTTGATGAAGAATATGGATGGCCGTATAGAAATGTGATTGAACAGAAGGGTATGATCTCAATTAGATTGAGGGGGAATCCAGCAAATCCTGTCTGTTCAGATTCTTCTCGGACTCTCTGTGTAGAACTGCTTTCTCCCGGGTATGAGGCAGGGCCCCTCTTGAATGAGGCTCCTTAAGGGAGAAGGGAGAGGGGAGAGAGTGACCTTTCTAGGTTTTCTGGCTTGCTGTGGAGAAGAGGGGCTCTAATTTCTATGACCTGCCTGGGGAAGAGGAATTCTGGTTTCTATGACTCACTTAATGGGAGGGGCAGGAGATAGGAGGATGGGAGAAGGTCAGAGAGACCTTGTTTCTAAGGCCTTTTCAGTTTCCTTCAGTTTAAAGTACTTAGCACACCAAGGTGCCGTACTTTGGGGTATTGTGTTCTGAGCCCCCAAAAAAGTGCCTGACACACAACAGGTAGCCAATAAATTATGTAAGTCCCTTTCTTCTGCTGCCATCCCAGAAGAGGGACCCTCTCCCCCAGCTTTCTAGTGAGGACAGAATGATGTAATGAGCTAGCATGAGTCCCATCTACTTATCAGTTACCAGGGGGAATTGTAGTAAGCTCTTCATGTGTACCCCACTGTGCTGTCCTATTCTCAGTTAATCTCTCTGCATCTAAACTTGGAAGGTAAGAACCTAATCAGGATGTTCTGAGCAGTTGGCGGAAACTCATGTGAACGCAGCTGTCTTGTCCAGTTCCTTAGTCTGTGCCCAGTCCAGACAGGCGTGCACTCGCACGCACGCGCACGCGCGCACACACACACACACACACAAAACTTGAAGGTGGCTTTTGCCCAAATGGCACTGTACTTGGGGGGTTCTGAGTAGGGCTGAAACAGCCTTTGCAAAAATTATAACTGAGGAAATTATGACAGTGACAAAGATCAGATCTAGACGACTCAGTCTTGCTTCTAACCTTTACGCTGTCTCTATTCATTCCTGGGCATAGGCAAAACTCACCTTGGGAAGGAATTCAGTTTATGGTTTGACTTGGAAACAAAATCAATAATAGCCCTTTCTCTAAAAGACCCCCTTCTTGCCTGGGGACCAGTATGCCTATGTAAGACTAACCAATTAGCTATGAAATTAGAAATTATCGTTTAGGGGACATGCAGCTTCTGGCTGCAAGATGCTGAACCTCCCCAAATTGCTCCTGGGGATAACATCACTACTATAAAACCTAAGATCATATTTTGCAGACCCTGCACTGGATGGATCAGCTGACACCACTCAGACCATGTATGATCTGGCTCAACCAGTTCTGCGATCCCACCCAGGAACAGAAGACTGCAAGAAAAGCTTACTTCAACCCCTCTATGATTCTATCTCCAACCTGACCTATCAGCACTCCCCACATCCCAAGTCCCTACCCGCCAAATTATCTTTAACTCCTGGAGGCAGGGCGATGCGACTCACGCCTGTAATCCCAGCTCTTTGTGAGGCCGAGGCGGGCAGATCATGAGGTCAAGAGATCGGGACCATCTTGGCCAACATGGTGAAACACTGCCTCTACTAAAAATACAAAAACTTAGCAGGGCGTGGTGGTGCATGCCTGTAGTCCTAGCTGCTTAGGAGGCTGAGGCAGGAGAATCACTTTAACCTGGGTGGCAGAGGTTGCAGTGAGCAGAGATTGTGCCATTGCATTTCAGCCTGGCAACAGAGCAAGACTCTGTCTCAAAAACAAAACAAAACACACAAACAAACAAATGTTCCTGGAATGCTTGGGGAGACTGATTTGAGTACTGGAATCCCAGCAGTTTAGGAGGCCAAAGTGGGTGGATCACTTGAGGTCAGGAGTTCCCGACCATCCTGGCCAATATGGTGAAACACCGTCTTTACTAAAAATAGAAAAATTAGCATGTGCGCCTGTAATCCCAGCTACTCTCCCGAGGTAGGAGAATCGCTTGAACCCGGGAGGCGGAGGTTGCAGTGAGCTGTGTCACTTCACTCCAGCCTGGCGACAGAGCGAGACTCCGTCTCAAGCAAGCAAGCAAGCAAGCAAGCAAGCAAACAAACGAAAACCTCCGGCCTCTGGCACAGCAGGCTCTGCGTAATTGCTTTCTCCATTGCACCCTGCCTTGATTAATGGGCTCTGTCTAAGCAGCGGGCAAGGTGAACTCGTTGGGCTGTTACAGGACCAGTGACAGAGCAAGGGCATGCCACTGAAGGGATCCCTAGACGCACACTTCCAGAGGCGAGGCAGGCGGATCTCACCCACGCCTGTCAACAGCTCCTGGCGGAACTGGGTTCCGAGGTCAGCCCTGGCCCGGAGGAGCGCCGAGGACACGCAGAGCGCGGCTGAAGTGGTGGCTACAACTCACCTAGGATCTGGGGCGCCAGCCCTCCGGTGGGCAGGGCGTTCTCCCCTCCCACCTCACCCCCCGCATGATGACATCATGTGTTTGGGGCTGAGTTGCTCCATAAAAGCAGCCCCGGGGAGGGGAGACAGGAGCGCGAAGAGCGGACGTGCTAGCCAAGGCACACGGGCTGCGCGCACGCGGTCCTGGTGTGCTGCCAGAGCACGAGCCGCCACTGGGAGCCCCCGGGACAGCAGGAGCCCGCCCCGCAGGAGCCCGCGAAGATGCCCCGGAGCAGCCTGCACGCGGCGGCCGTGCTTCTGCTGGTGATCTTAAAGGAACAGCCTTCCAGCCCAGCCCCCGTGAACGGTAAAGTTTCCGCCTGCTTCTTTCCTGACACTCCTGAGCGCTCAGCCGCCCCTGAACTAAAGGCTCTTCAATGATAAAGTAAAATCATTGCTGGGGGGCGCTGGGAAGGGGTGGTATCAAATAGCACATTCTCAAGAAAGGATGCTCCGCTCTTCCTTTGCGGGAAGCACGTTGGGGCGGGAAGCACGTTGCTTTCTAGTGGCGCGTGGCGTGGCGCAGATTTGGGGTTAAAGTGTTTGCGTGTACTCCCGAGCAACGCCAGCCCTGAAGATGTGGCTTGGGAACTTGCTAACCAGGAAAGAGACGCCAAGCCAAGATTTAAAACAGTGTTCCCCATCCACGTGCAGAAAAGTAGAAGGGTTACTGCGGCATTCTGAGTGGGGGAAGCACAGAGGAAGGTTTGCTGTGTCCCAGTGCAGAACTCGCAGACGGTGGATAGGCGCTTTTCTTTGGAGGGGAGGATCTTTACCATTAAGTCTTACCTACAAGTCAAAGGGATGATGCATCTCATTCTTAATCATTGGTTTTCTCCAGGCGGGCTCTACTATGCTTAATGTACATGTGTGCGCACGCACACACACACACATACACACCTTATTTCTGATTGTAATTAGAACACTAAATCCCAAAGGGCTGGAGGCTGAGGGGCTGGAGGCTAGAGGCTGAGTGGGGTGGCAGGAAGAGGTGGCAGGAGGGACCTAAACTGTGGGCTCACATGGGGCCAGTGAGTTAACATGTGTGCAGCCAAGGCTGGCTCGTTAATGTTTTGGAATAAGAAAGTGATTTTGAACTGAAAGTGATTTTAATGGCGGAAAATGGATTCTCTCTGGCTAGGCACTGGTGGTGGGAAATGTGACCTGGTGAGTAGCATAAAAGCTCTGAGCCTCCTCTCTTGGGGGTCACAGTGCCCTTGGGAAGGGGCAGGGGAGCCAGGCTGTGGATAACTCTTAATTAAATTCCAGTGGACTAGCTGGAATGATATGCTTGATATTATCTCCCTCATCTGGTCAGGGAGAAACAGAAGGTAGGTGGGAGTGATGTAAAGTGAAAAGCAAGTTTTAAAACCACAAACTTTACATGCATTCTCCTTTTATGGGAGCTGCACTGAGACTGAAGTTTCTCTGGAAATCTCTTTAGTCCTAAGCTATGCCAAGACAAAAGTGAGAATCAGCCCTTAGTTGTCCCTCTTTCCTATAACTGGTTGCTCCCCTCACTCGGGCAGCTCCCACCCCCTTCTCTTTTCCTGCCTGTCCTGTCCCTCCCTCCCTCCCCGTCCTTTCTTCCTTACTTTCCCTCCTCTCAACCCCCTCTCCCTTTCCCTCCTCCTCATTGCTCCCAATTCTCCAAGTTGGGGTGGGGGAAGCTTGCAGTCAAAACTCCACTTTCACCTCTGAGGAAGCAGCCTGCCTACCTGTGGGTTCTAAGAACACAGCTTTTATTCTGTAAGTTCTCATGCAGATTCCTTGGGTCTTTAACTGCCTTAGAGGACAGGTCAAAGCAAAAATCGCTGAGGTGTAGAATGTCAATATGAACTCAAGGTTGGGGGTGGAGAGGAGTTCAGCTGAGTAACGGAGGTCAAAGTGTGGTCTGCCCTCTGCCTGGCGCATTTAAACTTCAAGCACTGGAGAATGTTCAAGAACAATGTCAGGGGCCCGGGAGGGAGCATAATAAGCTGAAGCCAAGTGTCTTCTAGAGACACCCTTCGAATTCTTAGTCACTATGGCTTTGGACGGCATTTCGCTGAATTCTGCAGAGCTTGCCCTGCCCAAACCTGGTGTGCAGAACCAGGCAGTCTCGGGCTACCCAGGTGATGGTTACTCAGGGAAAGTTCTAGCATCCAGCACAGGAAGCAGGCAGGGCCCAGAACCTCTGACATGGATCTTAATAAATACCATTTTCTCCGGGCATTCCCTCCAGGGGAACCTCCCTGCCCAGTGCCAGCTGGGTCTGCAGGTTCTAACAGGCTTCCCTGATGGAACAGGTAACTTTCCTTGGAAGGAAACTGTTTCCCTCCAGGAGGGGCCTGCTCCCTCTGGACACCACCAAGGCCTTGGCCTGGCTTTGCCTGTGGAATCAGTTTAATTCCGTTAAGACTTCTGTTCTTACAGGTAGAGGTGGGGAACCAGGGGGTACTATTCCTGAATAAAGCATGCTTTTACACACACACACACACACACACACACACACACACACACACACACACACTTTTAGAGAGTCTCCCTGAGGTCAGATATGAGCTGGGGCCCTGATCCTCACCCAATGAATCCCTTTGACTCGCTAACCTCACCTTCGTTTTACAATGCCACTTCTTCCCAGCCCTCTGGCTCCTGAGCCCCTCCAGAAACTGCCATTTATACCCAAAGCGCCAAGCCTGGAGCCCTGAGCCAGCTCACTCACAGAGAGAAGGGCAGGAAATGTTGCTCTGGAGGCTGCTGCCTTTCAGCGAGTCCCAATCCTGTGTCACCACCGAGGCCTTGCAGTCCCAGATGTCCACTCTATGACTTTAGCCCCGAGCTTTCTGGAGTGTGATGCTGAGGCCTCCTCTGAGGATGAGAGCTCCAACAATGGGGAAAAACCTCGATTAGCACGCTCTGGGGAGGGTAGCAGAAGACATAGGGTGTAAGGCTATGATTTGAACGGGAGCAGGTGCAATGCAAACTGCTGGCAGGCCCCGGTGCTCGGGCAGCAGATATATTTCTAGTGGCCTCCAGGATCACTGGAGTGGCCTGTGCCTCCTCAGGGGAAAAGTAAGGGTGAGCTCTTCTGTTACTTGTGAAATTTTACATCCTGGGCCTCCAACTGCTCTGCCCAATACCAGGCAATGATCTGGCTTGTTATATCCCTAAAGTCCGTGATGACATCTTAATAGTGAACCCCTTCCACAAAAGACTGAAGGAAAATGTCCGGAAGAGGCTTTATGTCTTCTAAGCTTCGTTCTAAAGCAATGCCTTCTTTATTTTTTTTTTTCACTGTTGTTTCAGCAATGGGTGGCAGTAAACAAGTTTGGTTTCCCCATGGTTCTGAATGTTTTCATCCAGCTACAAATTCAAGGGAGGTTGATCTTGGGACCCTCAACTCCCAATGGGCCCATAGCTGGTTTCAGGAGGGTCTGTGGACCTTCTAAAATGAATTGTACATGAAATTTTGTGTCTAAGCTTAGGGAAATTTTTACGGAGAGAGGTCCATAATACTCATCAGATACTCTAGGGGATCTGGATTTCCCCACCTAACTACTCCAATGACTGAGGAGACTTGAAGATTCCCAAAGTTCACGGCGCTAATGGTAAATTAATGGTAAATGTGGTGGGACTCCTCTTAGTGGGAATGTGACATTGGACAGGACACTTCACCTTGGTGGACATTCCTCTCCTATAAAAGGAGGAGATGGGCTATGAGTATAAGAAAGAGATCTAAACCCTTCTCTTCCGGAGTGGGATGTCAATAAATAACGCCTAAACCTGAAACAGTCAAAGTGGAACAATATTAGCACGTTCTATAGAGATCTGGAGATAATATCAAAAGAATCATTTTAAAAAGATCCAAAGTGGGCCGGGTGTGGTGACTCACGCCTGTAACCCCAGCACTTTAGGAGGCCGAGGATGGCGGAGTACGAGGTCAGGAATTCAAGACCATCCTGGCTAACACAGTGAAACCCCGTCTCTACTAAAAATACAAAAAATTAGCCGGGCATAGTGGCACATGCCTGTAGTCCCAGCTACTTAGGAAGTTGAGGCAGGAGAATCGCTTGAACCCAGGAGGCAGAGGTTGCTGTGAGTTGAGATTGTGCCACTGCACTCCAGCCTGGATGACAGAGCGAGACTCCTTCTCAGAAAAGAAAAGAAAAAGATCCGAGTGGTTGCTCTAGGGAGCATTGCATGGTTAGGGAATGAGCTGAGGTTTTTGTTAAACAGCCTTGTAGAACCATCTGACTTTTTAAACCATGTACAAGTGTACTTTGATAAAAATTACCAATTACATTTGAAAATTAAAAACAAAATTAATTACAAACCCTGAGGCAAAGAAATGGAAGAAATAACAAAAACTATGAGATTAAACTAGCTTTAAAAAAAGGCCAAGTTGATTTTTAACTTTTAAAAAACACAATTTGCTTGGGTAAGAAACAGCCAGGAGTGATAAGTGACCAGATTGCTTGTCAGATGTTTTACTGCAAACTGATTCCCACGAGAGAAAGGGGATGTGAGGTGCTTCCCCACATGGGTACACTTTTCCACCTGTACCCTTGTGGGCCAAGTACCACCGAGACCCTGGGAGAAGCTGGGAGGGAGGGTTTAGGGGTTGCACAGTCCCCTCATTGGATGAGACCCCTGAGACGCGTAGAGGGATACTGCTCTACTCAGGGTCCCTTCCTCACAAGTGAAGAGGAAGGCCGGCAGGCAGGGGCACAAGAGCACAGCTCTGCACTTGTGAAAAAGACCTTTTTGACATAGGAACGAGGAACCTTTGTGCATGAAGGGTGTGGAGTGAGAAGTAGTAGGTAACTTTTGTTCTATTTCTGGCAGAACTTTGCCTATACAGTTCTACTGCCCCTGGATTTCTAACTCAGATGTGGGTAGCAGCTTCCTCAAAGAGAAACTTTTTCCCAGCTGGGTGATATGGCTCACGCCTGTAATCCTAGCCCTTTGGGAGGCTGGGGTGGGTAGATCGCTTGAGCCCAGGAGTTTGAGATCGGCCTGGGCAACATGGCAAAACCCCATCTCTATGAAAAATATAAAATTAGCCAGTGTGGTGGTGCGTGCCTGTAGTCCCAGCCTACTAGGAAGATTGAGGTGGGGGGATGGCTTGAACCCAGGAGGCTGAGGCTGCTGTGAGCTGAGATCAAGTCACTGCACTCCAGTCTGGGTGACAGAGTGAGACCCTGTCTCACAAAAAGAATGAAAAAAAGAGAAAGAAAAGGAAAGGAAGGAAAGAAGAGAGGGAGGAAGGGAGGGAGAGAAAGAGAGAGAGCAAGAGAGAAAAAGAAAGAAAGAGGAAAGAAAGGAGGGAAGGGAGGAAGGAAGGAAGAAAATGTTAAGTGGGAAAAAGCAAGACACAGAACACTGTTTCCAGTATGCCAACGTTTGTGTAAGGAGAAAGAGGGATCAATACATATGTGTGTGTAGCCATGCCATGAAAGGGCCCCCATCATCAGCTAACCTCATTGTCTAATGGAAACAGGGAGCTTTTGCTGTATATACCCTTTGATGGCTTTTGGGTTTTGAGCCACATGAAATTATTACCTGTCCAGATAATAAAGCTTGGCTTCTCTAAGGAGTCTGGAAGGTGCCTACTCAAGAAGCCCCCTCTGGCTTCCATGAGCCCCTGTGCCTCTGTCCAGAGCACAGTTTTCTTGAGAAGCTGTTGCTCTGATGCAGACTCAGAGAAGTTTCCATTTCTGGGCATCGACCTCCTTTTCAGTTTCACTCATATCAAAATAAAATCTGTAGTCTCTTCCCTTATTCATCTGCTTCTATTGTACTTACGTACTGTGTTTTGTTCTTTGTAGGTTCCAAGTGGACCTATTTTGGTAAGTAGAGATTTTAAATACTTTTTGTTTAAAAGAAAAAAGAAATGGTTGTACTTAATGAGAAAAACAGAAACTTCATGCTCTGTGGAGGTTATATTGAGGGGTCAGAAGAACAGTTTGGTATTGTAGAAAGAGAGGACAAAAGGCATCTCCCAAGAACACGTCACATCGACTTGAGTTGCTCACTGCACTTTCTCCAAGCAGGCGAGCCTGCTCTGGGCACTAGAACTGTGAATCATAGCGTTAAGACTTGATTCCTGCAAGGATTTCTACCAAACCTCCAAGATTCGGAAGTAACGTGCCCCACTGCAAGGGTCCTGGGCAGGAGAGAGCCCTTCTCCCTCGCAGGACACGTGTCCTACAACAAACAAAGAAGAAAGGGCTCCTTTCTGAAAGTTTGGCTCAGGTCCCAGAACTTAAGCTGTCAGTGTGTCTCAAATTAACTTCTTGTTGCCATGATGGTAAGCTAGCGATGGATGCAGAGGTGTGGGCCAGTCCTTAGTGAAAGAGGGAGGCCTGCAAGATAAGCAGCTGGAAATCTGCTTAGCTGGAGAGTCGCAGTGAATTAGAAATCAGTCATTGGCTGGAATGGATATGGCAGGCCGGGCACCCAAGTCCCCTGGCAAGTGCGGGAATGTTGGTAATGTCTTGTTGGGGTGCAGCCACAGAAGATGCACAACATCGATTGTTTTGGTAGCGGAAGGGTGGAACTGACTCGCTGGCCCAGGAGGCATTTTAAGCAAGCAGGGAGGTGGCCAAAGTTGAAGTCGTGGGCTGTAATGGCTGTGGGTGGGGGCGGGCAGGAAGGTGATTACTGCAGTGGAATCGCCATCCAGAGAAAGATCTGATGCCAATTTGCAAAGGTCAGCCTTTGCAGGTTCACCAGCCCAAGATGCCTAGAAAAGTCGCTGAACTGACCAACCAGCTACCTGCAGGCCAAGGTCCCCTCAGCCCTGGCACCGAATGGCTCCGTTCCTGCTAACATTCCTTACGCACTCATTACGTGCGCAGCACATTGCTAAGTGGGTGGTTAATAGAAGGGTAGGCTGTGATCCATAGCTGGGAATTACTTAAAGCTCACAGTTCAAAGCAGAACATGAGAGGTAATAATAACATCATAAACCAATGCTTCAGAGTGCTGAGTGCTCAAAGGAGGATGTGTGTGCTAGGGCTAGATGGTCAGGGAAGGCCTCCTGTAGGAAGAGGCTTTTAACCTGGGCCTTGGAAGAGGAGGGAGAGTCAGTGAAGGGGGAGGAGGTGCTGTTGGCCAAGGTGATGATTGTGTCACAGGAGCGGCAGCAAGAAAGAGCAAGGTGGTGGTTGAGGAAAGCATGTGGAGAAGGGTTTATAGGGTCGTCACGGGCTCTAAGGTCAGGGAGATAGGTTGGGTCAAATGGGAGGTGTGGGCGGGAAGGGCAGGCCTTTCCCAGTTTGTCCTGCTCCTAGAGGGGCAGGGAAAGGAGTAAGGCTGTGTTTCAGGAAGAGTTACTTGGTGGCAGGGGGTGGAGGGGAAGGATGGGAGGGACGCAGGAAGGGGTTCAGCCCGCGAAGAACCCCCATTCGGTGTCTTCACACCCGGTTTACAGTAGTGGCAGTGAGGGGAAGGCAAGGCTAGGACAAGAGACCTTACAAAGTGAGAATTGCAGATTCTGGGCCACAGGGCCGCTTGGGCAGTTTCCGCGTGTAAGAGGTGACAGACATGGACAGAAGGTGGCCCTTGGGTTCTGGGCTTTCTTCCGTGCAATCCCCAGTGAGGCATTTCAGCGCCGGGACCTCGCTTTCCCCATCTATAACTTGGCGGAGGGGTTGTTTAGACCAGTGTTTCTCAGACTACAGCTTGGGGTCACCCACATCAGGATCACCTGGAATGCAGATTTCTGGGCCTTGACCTGAACCTGGGAAAAGGAGGGAACCTGAAAAACCTGTGTTTTTAACGCACTCCCCAAGTAATTCTTAGGTGCACTCTTATCAGAGAATCACTGACCAATGGTTCCCAAGATCTGTTTAGCCAGATCAGAGGAAACTTGCCCCATCTCTTCTGCTGGCCTCTCAGTCATGACAGAAACACAAATCCTATCTCCATGGGGTCCTCTGTCTCTGTTATAGCCCTCCTGGGCAGAATGAGGTAGTGACAGAGAATAGAGAGACATTGTGTCAAGAAAATCTTTTTTTTTGGAGTCTCACTCTCGCTCAGGCTGGACTGCTGTGGCTTGATCTCGGCTCACTGTACCCTCTGCTTACTGGGTCCAGCGATTCTCCTGCCTCATCTTGACAAGTAGCTGGGATTACAGGCATGCACCACCATGCCCAGCTAATTTTTATATTTTTAGTAGAGATGGGGTTTCACCATGTTGGCCAGGCTGGCCTTGAACTCCTGACCAGATGATCCACCCCCCTCGGCCTCCCAAAGTGCTGGGATTACAGTTGTGAGCCACTGCGCCTGGCTGGAAGAAAATCTGAACTGCCCCTTCATCATGACGTGGTGTTCCCCAAGGGTGGGCTTCTCAGTGCAGCTGTATTGACTGGTCCAGAGGCATTTCTTCCTGACCACCAGCTGTGGCCAGCCCTCTGTCCCTCCTGCCCCACACAATTAGAGCTGCTGTTTGCTGAGGAAGCAGAGGGCAGAGTCTAATGATGCATGGACATGCATGGGGTAAGCACAAAATCAAGTCTGGTTTTTATTAGTGACACAGGCACATGTGATGTGGAGTCAGCCCTCGAAGGAGATGCAAAGGGGAGGACAGATGGAAGACAGCTCAAGAGGCAAATTCCTTCTTAGGTCCTGGCTGGCAGCTGGAGCCTGTGCTCAGAGTTGCACAGGTAGACAAAGGGCCCAGCATAAGTGCTGGAGGGAAATGGTTTCTAAGCAGTAAGGGCCGCACTGAATGGGGCAAATCCAACCAAAGGCTCCATGCTGGTTTTCCTCAAGTGTAGAACTCAGCTTCGATGCACATACACTGCTGAGTCATTCTACAGGGGCCACCCCCCAACTGGCACCTATGGTAGGACTTCTAGAAGTACAAAGAAAGGGAGCTCTACCCCTGTCTCCTCATAGCTGGGTCACCAGGCTGACTGCATGGATGGCCCCTCCCTGGAGACAGGGGACTATCTGACTGCCAGAGGGGCCAGCGACATCCCTCTGCACTCCTCCTGGGGTGCCGAAGCAGTAGCTGAATGTCTGCTGGGCTTAGCATGGCTGAGGTGCCATCACGAGAGAGAGGCTGGGGATGATGTGACATGGACTCTCCCCGCAGGAAATCGGTCCCGCATCAATCCTGCTGAGCCCTGCAGCTTCGATTGCTCTGAACCGAGGGCAGCTGCAGGTCAGGTTGTCATGTGAACTGAGGACAAACTCCAGCCTGCTAAGGTATCAGAATATGTGCCCTGTGGGGGATGAAGATGGCTGGACAGAGGCAGGAGGGGTTGTGGGCACGCTCAGGTCCTTGGTGTGGATGCTGCCGTCACTTTGTGAGGTGCATCCAGCTCTTTCCTTATGGTCTACATACTTTTCTGTGTGTATTTCATATTCAATACAAGAGTTAAAAAATTCCAGCTGGCTAGGAGATTTATCCTTACTCTGACAGCTTTTGTAGTACCTCCCCAAGAAAAAACTAAAAAAACAAAAAACAAAAACAACAACAAAAAAAACAGTGTATTCAAAACAACAGAGAAACCACAAAGAATGACTATATTGGAACTAGACCCAAGAACACATCATGTGAGCTGAGAATGAACACGGTGTTTCATCCCTGATGATATCACATAGTGGTTTGCTGCTCCTTGGATATGAGCTGGTTGAGAAATAGATGAAAACCCCTGTTTGCTCAAGATCTGGAAAGTCTTAAAGGCGATAGGGTGGCAGAAGAATGTGGGTGACAAGCCTTTCTCCTGGAGGGTGCGCAAACTCCACCTCTCCCTGTCACAGCCCTACAAGGCACCCGCGAAACCAGCCCCTCCATCCTGTTGGGAAACTTTGGAAAGATGGTGGCCTGGCCTGGGGATGCTGGGGGCTGGCTGCGGCTATGGCCACACCCGCTTACAGGTCAGCCTGCCCAGTTCTCTGTTGTGGAGGGTCAGCCCTCCTGGCCCTCGGCTTTGACAGGACCCAGTGTGACCCAGGCAGTGCTGTGCCTTCCTTGTGCTGTGCTTCTTGGTTTCTCTCCCAGACAACAGATTGTCCATCTTAAAGAATTTCCCTTGGAAATCAGGGTGAGATCCTCCACTGTGGCACGACTCATCCTCATGTCCCTGAAGTTCTGCAGGTCTGCACCTCCACCCACCTTCTGTCCTGTATCTGCAGAAATATTTAGTTCCCATAATGAACCTTTCCTAGGACTCCAGACACCCTTTCACCCTCTTCCCAAACAACTAGAAATGGAACAGGTGGAAGGAGGCCAGGAAGTAAACTCTTTACTTTCTGTTCTTCAGCAGTGATAAAGGCATTGTGTGACCTGAATTGCAATATAAAAAGCAGGCTGCAGTTAGAGCTCTGGGGAGAACTCAGAACAGCAGGGAGCACATGCAATTGAAAGACTGACTTCACCAAGGGCTCTTGTCTTTATCAAAGGTAGAGAGGCCTGGCCAACTCAAAACACTCCAGCTGCCATCCTGAAGATGAATAAGGGGCACAGAGTGCTCTTAGGAGAGCCAGAAAAGGCCAGGCATGTTTTTCTTTTTCTTTTTTTCTTTTTTGAGATGGAGTCTCACTCTGTTGCCCAGGATGGAGTGCAATGGTGCGATCTCGGCTCATTGCAACCTCCACCTCGCAGGTTCAAGTGATTCTCCTGCCTCAGCCTCCCAAGTAGCTGGGATTATAGAAACCTGCCGCCACGCCTGGCTAATTTTTATATTTTTGGTAGAGATGGGGTTTCACCCTGTTGACCAGGCTGGTCTCAAGCTCCTGACCTCAGGTGATCCGCCTGCCTTGGCCTCCCAAAGTTCTGAGATTACAGGCGTGAGCCACCAAACCTGGCCCAGATATGTTTTTCTTTTCTTGAGAC